GCTCTGCAACAAAGCAGATAGTTGAATTGAGATATCCCAAGCCTCAGCTTAGAGGCACAAACTCAAAATGTCTTACCTTTCTTCTGCCTAAAAGGCAGCTCTCCCAAAATAAACATGAATACACCTAGGGATGAAATCAGATGCACAACTCTTGTTGTATGACCGAAACTCAGAAGTATTTTGAAATTAGCATGGGGGAAGGGAAAAATACTGTTGAACTGCAAATGAATAGAAATCAAGCTAATGTAGAGCACATATTGCTGATTTTCACATGCTTGAGTCTGAGCTCTGATCCACAGAGAAAATAGCTCTAAAATATTAACCACAGTCATTATGGAAGGCTCACTTCTGACAATGTGTCTTATGGTTCATTTACTAAGAAAAAATGGATGCAATTTTAGCCAGTGTTAAAATTAATCTGCTTTTATCAGAGAAAAACTAATTCCACCTGCCCAGCTCTTCTGCACAGTTTTCAGAAGAGAATAACACAGAGGTAGTGGTTTTAAATAACCAGGCTTTGCACTGAACCTAGGATTCTGTAGGTTTTTATTCATCTATGCTGGGAAAAAAAAAATATCTTTCTGAAAGAGGCCAACCATCTAGCCTAGACAAATGTGGAGTTCATTACCAGTGCTGACCATGATCTGATTCTCAGTACCAGCAACAAGACTTAATTTCTTCTTAGGAGAAGGTCAGCTCTTGGAGCCAGTAAAATCTGTGATATCTGGAAGGAATAAAGGCAGCAGTAACATCCTACTGTACACAGCATAATCCACGCTCCCCAGCATTACAGGGAAACCTACAACAGCTTTACAAACACTTTCACACACTAAGTTCAATCAAACTTCTCTCTAAGCTCTTGAACACCTGTTCCAGCCCTACTTTAAGGCTGAGAGCTAAAACTTCAGCTGTTGTAGAAGTCCATGATCCAGGAAAGGGTTTTATAGAGGAAAGAAAAGACAGGAGGGCCAAGAGGAGGTAGAGCTCCCACATGAGGTACCACACCTTCAAAGCAGCTCTCTAAATCACACTGGTTTGAACATTGGTATATCCCTATTGAAAGCATATGAGGAAGAATGGAATGATCCTATTCATGCCTCAAAGAGACCTGGCTTCATGGACTGGGCAGATCCCTTTAGGTGCTCTCCATCTCTTCAATGTACTTTTGCATCCAAAGAAAAAAAAAAAAAAAAAAACAAACAAAAAAAAACACAAAACAGAACCAACATTAAAGTTTAGCAGAAGAACAGAAACATCACAATCTCTCCAGGCTTGAGTTCTCTTTAGACTGTTGCTATTGACAGCAAACCTAGGGAGAATTATTGTTTTTTATTAGTATTATTATTTTCTAGTACTGCATGCGTAATAGCTCTCTAGATACAGAAAATAGATACAAATAAATGAATGCAACCATAACTGTCTCATGTCTTTCATTTAGGAGAGACTGGCTTTAGTCTTTTTGCTCAGAAACAAATTTAACAAGAATTTAGGAGCTGTGTATTGGGGATGAAATAAATTTGGTGAATAGTAGTAGAGGGAAGCTTGCTATGACTTCAAAGCACAACCAACACAATGATGGGACTTGGTGGAATAAGAAAACTAAGGCTGAATTTAATACAAATAGCTCCATTGTTATCAAAGGTTTTGTACAAGCTCTAATGATAATTCAATTGCATTGTACATTGGGGAGAAGGTAGATGGAGATCATTTAATGTTTTTTAATTAGTAAAATATTTCATCCTGGCTACAATTTACCTTCTGTGCAAGGGAACAGAAGTGGTGTCAACAGCAGGTTGCAGCTAGCTGCAGCTTTACAAACAGACCTGCATTCTGCTTATACACTCACCAGGAGCAATGTTATTTAGCAGCAGAAACAACTGGAAGAGTCTTCTCAAGACTTCTGCCTGGTTCTCTTGGCATCCCACTTTTGCATAATGAGATTGCTAAAGCATTTCACTTTGATAGTAGGTTTGAACTAGGAGGCTAGGACTGACCTGGGAATAAGCACTTTTCCCACACATCTTGAAATGTTTTTCTACTCAAAAGCAAACAGTTCAGATTCGTTTAAGAAGACTAGGAATGCTGAATTGGATTAAAATGCAGGAAAATTTCCAACTCTTGTCTTTAAGAAGTCAGTTTCTAACCTGAATAGGATGACTAAAAGAAGCCTGGCACCTTAATAAGCATCCCAGACTTCCATCAAGACGGTCCCTTTATTCCAACATGGTCAGAATTACAAAAAAAAAAATAGATCTTCTCATACTCATCTTTCCAATGGCAAATAGTAGTGGAAATCTTAGTATCTCAATACCCAGAAAAGAAATAAAATCCTAATCAATTTGTTTCTGAAAATGTGTTACAGGTCAGTCCTAGAGCTTATGGCAGTGTAGCTAATACTTCCTGCTATATCTACAGAGCACAGCTCTATACCATAAGCTTTCCCAGGAGATCAGCTGTAAGCAGACAAATGATTATTACAGCTGAGGTATTTAGAGTAGTTGCGCCACTGAGCACACAACACTTTGGCTCATGCAACTGCTGTGTTTTAGCTATGCTAGACTGGCAGCTTCATCTTGTTCACCTTCTGAGAAGAGATTTGTCAGTCTTCTGCATGGGATGTTGATACCTTTTGTCTTATGGCACCAAGGCAGGTGGTGCTGGTGTAACAAGTAAAAGGGTTGGCTTAGAAGCCATCACCTGTCCATCACTATCCAAAAATGGATGTCCATCATTATCTTATCATACACCAAGCAACCATGCATGCTGCCTTTCAAAGAACAGGAACGTGCTGAAGACTTGACTACACTAAACCAGAGTGAGCCAAATGCGTCCCCCGTAAAGATCCACTAAAAAAAAAAAATCATCTAGGTACAGTTTTTTTGTTTAGTGTTTTGTTTAATTTTGAAAAATTTCTATTGTATGAGATGTGAAAAAAAACTTTTAACCTGAAAATTCATATTTAAGAATCTAAAATGAACTATGAACAGTAATGCGAGATCTGTCCATTCTACTCTCCAGAAGGCAATATGCAGTATGAAGACAGAAGGTCTCCTGCCAAAACATTGGCTAGAAAGAAGATATTTGTGGGTTAATTTGGGCATTGGCAGATCCTCAAGGGAAACAAGCCAAGCTGTATTTCACTTTCACAAGTTAGAGAAGTTACACAGATGAATGTGGTGGAATATTGAAAAAAGTCAATGGAAATGGAAGAAACCACCTCTCAGAGAAACCAGAGAAAATCAGCAGGTGATAAGGAGGGTAAGGAGGGTTATGATTTCTGGTGAAGCCAGAAACTGCCAGTTCTCTTGAGATGAGATGCTGTCGGGTATCAGGTGCTAGAAGCTGACTCTTTTTGTTTTTATAAAATACCAACACATTTAAAATCAACCCTTTGTTACATGCTGCCAACAACAACTTAAAAAAAAAAAAAGGCACAAGAATCAGTATCTTAACACAAACTTCTGTAGGCAGACTTGTGAGAACTTTAACTGGAAAATCTGAGTATTTAAATAAAGTATCTCACACTATGACCACTGAAGGAGCTTCCACACATAAGCTGGTCTGTGACAACTGTCCGCATGAGGGCTCCTCATCTTGGAAGAATAAATAAATGCCTCTCAGCACAAGTTAAGGTAAACACAGTTACTTCAGGTCTGCTTCAAGCCAAGAGTGCTTATGATATTGCTACTCATCAACTGATGAGTTACAACCTCCTGTACCTGGGTTCTCAGTCTCAAGTCCAGGTTGAGCAGCAAATATTCCACTGTGATTTCATCACTGTTGTAGGAGAGCTCACTTTCAAGGCTAGATGCTCAAAAGGCAAAAACGCACCATCAGAACTCCCCATTGAGACCTGGGGAATCCCTTGTTCCTAATAACTTTTCCACAAAGATACAGCAGGGACTAAAGGCCTTCCATTTTGTTTATACCATCCTTCTAAATAATAAGAAGTTACCAGGCTACAACCTTTTGTAGTCTCACTTATTTCATTCATTTCTGAGCTATAAGAACTTGTACCACTACAAATAGTAAGGCCATCCCCTGCCAAATTCAAGAAAGCAAATAAAATACATCTCTTCTGGCAAAATGTCTCCATACCAATGTGTGTAATTACCTATGTTCTTTATGAGGGCCTTGTTCACGTATTATAGTTAAAACTCTAAGCACTGAAATACAGTTAAAACAGATGCATCAGGCAACTTGCTTGCTGGCTCATGTCAAACCTCCACAGGTGGTGGCAGAGTGAGAGATGGCTTTCATTCCAAGATGCTGAGAACAAATTGCACGGCATATGCAGGAGGGCTTGCAGCACAGAAAACTAGTTCTAGGTAAACTCTTGCATTTATGTCCCACCCTCCAGCAACTGTGTATGTCTCCCAGCTATTAATTTTGTCAGTCAATGTTGATATCTGGCAATCTATCTCTTTCCAATTCAGCAACTTGGGCTGAGTTTCACAAGCAACATGGAACTTATCAATACATAACCAGGTTTCTTTACTATAAACTTGTTTGTTTCCTCTTTTTGTCTTTGTTACCAGCCTATACTTCCATAGCATTTAAGTTCAAAATCCCCAACAGAAAATCCACAGTCCTCAGAAGTTCTGGTTCTTCTTTTTGAAATAAACTAAAATATAAGCATCTTGACTAGTGAAGGGTTCTTTCACCCTTAAAATCTCTTGTCAGACAATTCTGAAACTAACCCTCCCCCCCCCCCAAAAAAAAAAAAAATCACTCCAATTAAATTACCTCAGTTCTTAGCCCCTGCATTGTCTCTTCCTTTTCTATTTCCTGCTCTTACACTTATCAAGAATATTTTTCCTCCACCCTGACTTCCCAACACTATCATGTGTTTCTGCCATATCAGCAATTTCACTTTGCTACACAATTCCACAAGCTTTCCAAGCAACATCTTCGCGCACCACCTTCCCAACCTCACCCAAAGTTTTGCCAAGCTTTCTCTCATTCTCCAGTTACCACTCCCCACAACAGAGGCTTCCTACCTGCTTAGGACACATTCCTTCCTTGGCATCTCCTGACTGGTATGAAACACTTCAGACAGCATTTTCCTCAGTTGTTTTGGTTGCTCAACTCTTCAGTTCCAATCAGCTTCTTCAAAATTTATTGACAACAACTACAAATCAACTTCTCTACTAAATTACTAGAAAGTCTCTTCTTCATTAGACAACTTAAAGTTTCATACAGTCTCAGAGGGGGGAAAAACAAACAAACAAACAAAAAAAACAGCTCTTACCCTTCTGCTTCACCTCCTCTTATCTCTTCCTTTCCTAAATCACTTATTCCTTCCACCTGGCAAGGCAGAGAATTGCAGCCAGCTGAGCCTCCTGAACTTCAGGTGCTTCTTATCACACCCCACCATCAGTGCCCATTACCTTGAGTGTTTGTTCCTGTTTGTATTCTCTTTTTATTATTTCCATTTTAGAAAATTATTAACTAAATCAAATCAAAACAAAACAAAACAAACAAACAAACTATGGGTCAAAGGATCAATTAATCAATGTGTTTGTAAACCTTGTATTCCTACTGCTTCTTGTTGCCTGTTCACACAGTTGAGGAACAACCAGTTACCATATACCTCCTGCACAACTGCAATCAAATTAGCTGACTTCTGTGTAAATCCATCCAGAGCATTCCTTGTAAGTCTGCAGTGGAGTGGCTACAGCTGCCTCCCAGATCATGGCTAACTGTGACATTGTCAGTTCTTTGAGCCAAGAATCAAGCATTTGTCTTTACAACATTTCAGTGCTGTAAAAGGATTATCGTACAGGATTTGTAGTTATCACGGAGATGACATCTCTTTGTTCTGCATGGAAAAACAAGGGTCAATGATTAACACCTTTAGGAGGGCTCCTGCTTGGGTGTAAGCCACATTCCTTAGGATCTCAGTTGTCAATCTGCTCAGCAGTGAAAGGGGTCAGAAGAGTGAAAATCAGCTCTTTGAATCTTCAGATATTTCCCTTGCAATCTATTCTTCCCTTGAGTTTTCAGCTAGTTAAGCTGCACTGAGCTGCCACATTTTTGACTTTCCATCCTGAGTAAACTTGAGTCTGTGTTAGGAACAAAAAGCAATGATATTAAAGTTACCTTTCCTCTAACAGTACAGCAGCCAATGAGGATCATTTTACAGGAAGTGGAAAATGTTGCAATTCTTCTAAAAAACACCTTTCAAGCTACATTTTCTGTCTGAATGTGTCAGCATCCAGCGTTTTGTGAGTAGCCTAATGGATAAGCCTCTGTAGCTGGGGATAGTGTTTTTTTGTTTGTTTGTTTGCTTGCTTGCTTGCTGGCTTGCTTGTAACAATTGCAAGGTACTGCACCTGGGTTGGGGCAATTCCAGACAGGATTACAGACTGGGAGAAGAACTCATTGAGAGCAGCCCTGCAGAGAAGGACTTGGGGGTTCTGATGGTTGAAAGGTTCAACATGTGCCAGCAGTGCACGCTTGCAGCCCAGAAAGCCAACTGCATCCTGGGCTGCCTCAAAAGAGGGGTTACCAGCAGGTGGAGGGAGGGGATTGTCCCCCCTCTACTCTGCCTTTGTGAGGCCCCACCTGCAGTGCTGCATCCATGTTTGGGGCCCCCAGCACAAGATGTGGGGTTATTAGAACAGGTACAGAGGAGGGCTACGGAGATGATCAGAGAGCTGGAGCACCTCTCCTACAAAAAGAGGCTGAGATAGCTGGGGGTGTTCAGCCTGGAGAAGAGAAGGATCTGGGGAAACCTCATGGTGGCTTTTCAATACTTACAGGGGTCTTATAAAAAGAATGGGGAAGGACTCCTTTCTAAGGTAGATTTACTCACTGTAAGGGTAGTGAGGCACTGGAACACGTTGACAAAAGAAGTTGTGGATGGCCCATCCCTGGAGATGTTCAAGGCCAGGTTGGATGGGTCCTTCCCCAATCTGATCTCATTAGTGGATGGCATTGCTGTCTATGGCAGGGGGGATGGAATTAAATGATTTTTAAGGTCCCTTCCAACCCAAGCCTTTCTATGATTCTATGATTTTCTATTCTGTAAGGGATTCAGATGGGATGGTGTCTGGTTTCTGTCCCAAGCAATAAGACAATGAAATTTCCCATGAAAATGAATAGCAATAAGCCTGTTTCAGCTGTTAATCAGTAGCACCAAGTCATTTCCTTTTGATAACAGAACATACCTTACAAGTACCACCACAGAAAGGTAAAGGTTGTATCGCTTTTGTTACTACTGTCTACTCACCTCAATGCAGTAACCTCTGCCCAAAGAACTCGTTACCATCAGCAAAAATCCTCTAGTGACATCCACCATGAGACTAAGGAGACGCACAAAAAAGAAGACAGCTGCAAAGAAAATCTCTCCAGTAGGGAGAGGTGCATTCCAGGAAGGAAAGCTGGAAGAATAAAGAGGGGCAAAGAACTTTTACACCTCCAGGGAATGAGCTTAATTATCATATAGTGTCCCGTATACTCCATGTATTCTTATAGATTCACTATAAAAGATGTGTCCATGACATAGCATTGATATTTTGTCATAATCTTCGTGCCAAAGTGCAAATCAACTGGGAATGTTTCTCAGTACAGTTTTTGACACTACCATAATGCAGGCAATTTTGGTTGATATTTTAGTGTTGCAAATGTCACTGAAAATGACATACCTCCAAGAAATTGTCTGATTTTGACTATATTTTCTCTTTTCTATATATTCTTTTTCTTCTGTTGACATTCTTTCCCCAAGTGGCTCTAGTACTTTGGGAAAGAATGTGTTTAATGCTCTATGTGTTTAAGTGGTGTTTTCACTTTACTGACATCATCTGTCCTTTGTAAACTCAAGACAGAAGGTGAATGTTTAAAAGTGTATGTCATCTGCCTATATTCTTTTGTCCTTATTATGAAGGACTGATGTTACTGCATTCATTTCTCATAAGTCATTATATCAGGTATTTCTACCGTGAAGTATTTTCTAGCACTGCTACTGCATAATGTGATTTGTATTTACGGACAATCTGAGTATCTTATTAGAAAGAGAAATTTACTAAGGGGTTAAAATTTTATTTATATCGTATCATCCAAGTTCAGATGTCAACCATACAATTCTAAATATTTAAGAAGGACCACCGAATTATAGACATCTTTCCTTTCCTCTGAACTCTCTTCAGCAAAGATCACCCTATGTTGAATGATATAGTATGTTCTTATTTAAACAAAAAGCTTTCTCTATGGAGGATTAAATACAGGTTTCCCAAGTAACATTTCATAATGAGATGTTGTTTCTTTTGTACTATATTCTCTGCTCCTCATAAAATTTCTCAAGGTATCTCTCTCCTCTACTTGTTCATAAAGGTCTGTTTCTTACCAAATTCCACCGTGTCAAACATTCCCAGAAAGGACTCTTTCAGCTGGGTATTTCAATAGCTCAGCTTTAGAAAGGAGTAGGGATGGATTCTCCTTCTGTTTGCCACAAAACAACTCTTGGCTTCATCTGAGTGAAAGTGATATACGTGAGCAGAAAAGGAGCACAGACACAGACTTAACATTCTTTCTCAGTTCTTTTATTTTGAGATGGTGCCAGGGTGTAATGGAGATATGGAAAGGACAGAGCAGAAGATGAAATTATTTTCTTTTTGTGTTAGTGTGTGCATGTTTCATTCTCTTTCAGGCTGACAGGAGCACAGGTGATTTCCTAGCTCTTTTTGGAAGGATCTCTGTAAAGCAGTTTGGGTTTTGTTTTCTTATTTCCCTTTAAAGCCATCAATCAGATGCCTTACTTATAGATCTACCTTAAGAACTTGAATAACATTGAAGAAAATCAGTGCTGCTGTACTAAACACAGGCATTGACAGCAATTTTTAAAGGACATGAACAACCATAGGCAGGTAATCCAGAGCAAAACATTTCCTAGAAATACTCACTACACTTAACATCACTTAAAAAGTTCAAAGAAACATCAGAATATCTTTCAATAAATCTGCTTTTAGAGAATGGCAGTGTTTACCTGCACTGATGCTGTACCTTGCCCCCACTGTTGCTCTTTGTCGTGAAAATACATATGTAATGATCTTGTCAAGACAGTGCCATTTCCCTGAGGAGGGCTGAAAGATACCAGTACCCAAGGAGAACAGAACAGAAGAAGTATTATCAGTTCCAATTTGGAATAAAACTAAGGGGAGACTGAGAAGCAAGTGGGGAGCATCGAGAACATTCATATCCTCTCTCCAAATTTATTCACAAATCAGACAAACCATCAGCATGAATATGTTACTTGCTCCACTGAATCTTGTGAGTATCTACATAATGTATGCACAGGAAAGTCAGGAAGGTAAGCATTAGCATTACACTGAGTTTTGAACAGTGACAACAGCTAAGTCCTCTAGCCCCTGTTACACTTAAAAACAAGGGGGAAAAAAAAAAAAAGAGAGAGAGAGAGAGAGAGAGAGAAGGATTTTTCTTTAAAAATAAGTAAATAAATAAATAATAAATAAATAAATAAAAAGATGGGTAGCAAAATTGGCTCACATCGCTGTAGTGTGGGGATGCTGAATTTTTCCACATCTCAGATGTGTTTGTTTTTTTTCCAGCAGCTCCTTAGCTATTTTAGTAGTTTATTGCAATCCCAGTTCAGGGCAAATCCAGCTAATGCTGTGCTGCATTAGAAGGAGCAAAGTCAAAGGGAGCTGGGGAAAGAAGGAAACAATATTCTTTCTAGGAACACTTCCCTAAAAGGGTAAAAATAGAGACTGGGACCTGGGTCTTAAGGAAACTTTAATGACTAAATCCAGAGAGCTCCTAGCCAGTGTTTGCAGAACACTGCTTTCAAGCACTGCTCCCCACTCCTCCCCACAAAAGTAGTTTTAATCCGCCAAGTTCAAGTCCTTCTTAAGGTTTCCCAACTAGTAGTGAACATTTTCTTCTTAGTGTCCTGGTTTACCAGGACATCTGGTCATGTTTTCAAGTTTCCTCTGCAAGAATTCTTTCAGATTGCATTTCTCCAAAAAGCTGTGGCATTTGAATGTTAATCTGTGGTCCTCTACACAAACCCAGATGGCCCAGTCCCTGTTCAGCAGCCATGACAGTACACTTCTATAACACTTCTCATTCATCCATATCAGAAAGTGCTGGCAGATTACACAAATCAAAGAGAAAAAAAAATAATCTTTGCCATCCTGAGAATCCTTCACTAATAGGCTCTAAAGTGCACCTACTTAATCACAAGCAGCACCAACAGAGAAGATGGTATAGAATTTGAGACAAGTA